TGGACATCTTGCGAAAGTGAGAAATGAAAAGGGCAAAATCGTCCAAGGGGGGCGGTAAATAGTAACGCCCTTTTTAAAATCAACTGCCACTGGACATCTGCATCAAGTTTTGGTTAAAATTCATATTGTATCATGTCAAATAACGTAGCTGTTACTTATTAACCAGTGTTTTAAATACCGTACCGGTGGTCATACCGGTCTAGCCACCGGTACGCGGTATTACCGGTCGGACAGGTAATATTGGTGGTATTACCGGATTAACAAATATAATGATATATATAAATATACATATAAATATATAATACAAAATGCAAAAAAGTAAAAAAAATAAATGACCACAATCATTAATTTCAACTTCATTTTAACTACCAATTTAAATTTTATTTTAAATTAAAAAAATTTATTTTTTTTATTTTTTCATTGGCCTTTGGACCGGTATTTTGCAGTTTTGACAGTACGATCTCGGTACAAACCGGTATAACTGTAAATCCGGTATTTTGAGTGTAATTGTAGCGTATCAATGGCTGGTATCCAGTATTACCGGCCGGTACGGTACGATATTTAAAACATTGTTTGTAACATTACTTTTTCTTTTTTGGTATTTGTATTTTAATGTCTTTTTGTTTTGGTATTTTGTGTTTTTTGTCGTGGTTGTTCATACCAAGTTATGTGTAGCGCGAAGTACTTAAGGGTTAGGATTGTAAACCGATCGAACCAAAGCGAATACTATGATATTTGATTTGGATTTGTTAAAATATTCGAAGATTCGAATTCGTATTTAATTGAACTCAATTTTTTATTCGTATTCGATTTGTTTATGACATTCGAACATATTCGATTCAATTTGAAATTCGTTTTCAGAAATATATATATATATATATATATATATATATAATTATAAAAATATTATTTATATTTTCTTATCTAATTTGAGATGTTTTTAATACAAATTGTTAATATGGGATGTTTCTTTTATGTCATAAGAATATATCAAATCACGAATATCTAATCGAATAAAAAAAATCACTTTGCTACAAGTCTACTTTAGGGTTCTATCAGTGAATTGGTTTAATCCCTCCTTTTTTTGGGGTGGCTTAGTCTCCTTTAGTGGGAGTTATTTTTTATTTATTTATTTATTTATTTTCATTTTGTTGTGTTTGTAAATTCTAAGAGTATCTCCAATGCATGAATATTGTTATCACATAAATTTTGACAAATGTTAATTATTTAGATGGATTGTGAACCACATAAGATATTTGTTAAGTTCACAACTTTAAATCTAAAAAATTATTTACAATGCACAATGTGATAACATAATATTGTCCATTTGGTAAAGTAAATAAAATATATATATAAATAAGAAACAAAAATAATTAAATAATTTAGATATTTTAAAAATGGTAATATTATTTCTCTCTCATCTCTCAATTGGTTGATTGAAATGTGAAAGAAAATGTGGATGAATCACATTCTTCTCTACATTGTGGACATGTCCACGGGTAAATTTTATTGTAGTGCTTGACTTTTTAGTATTGTGTCACAATAAGGCCTGAATTTTTAACTTTTCACGGTTTCAATTTTAAGTTATTCTCAATATAAGACCTATTTTTACATTCTACTTTTCAATCTAATACTCCAAATCATTATAGACCAAAATACTATTATTTTAAAATTTATATTTTAAATAATTATAATTTTTTAATAACATTATTTTAGTAAAAATATTAATTCATTTAAGCTAAATTAATTTTGCATAAATGTAGCTTATTTGAATTAATTTTCTTACGAAGCTATTTTTACAAATATATTTAATACTTTTATTATATGTATTTATATATTCTTAACTTTTTCAAAAATATAAATTTTATTCACAAATAATATTTCTATAAATTTATTTACAAAAATAAAATTATAGTTTATATTTTAATGTTACCACATATTTAGATTAAAATTAATTTAAAGTTTATTTTTTAACTTTTAAAATAAAATTCATTAAACTTTTTCATAAATATAAATTATGAAATAATTATCTTATTAGGTAATTTTAGTAAATATATTTAATATTTTTCATTATAAGTACTTAAAAATAGATTTTATTTTTTTAAAATATTGTGGTTTACATAATTATATCAAAATAAAAAATGATTTGTAGTCTTAAATTGAATAGCGTAATGTAAAAGTAGGTTTTATATTGAGAATAACTTAAAATTGAAACTTTCTAATGAAAAAGTTGACAATCCAAGTCTTATTGTGATACAATACCAAAAAGTCAATTCTTACAATAGAATTTCCCCGAACAGTAATTATGTCCACCTCATCGCTACATTTGTGATTACATTGTTCATTGTAGGATTAAAAGTATAGACATTGCTAAATTTGTTAATATAAAATGTAATTTACTACAACTACATTTCACCATTGAAGATGCTCTAAGCTCATAGAGCTTAACTCCTTCACAATGTGTAAAGAGGTTGATTTGACCAATTGTTCACGATTTTAATTCTTTTGAATTTTAATACACTATCATTTCGACCAAAAAAAAAAAA